AATTTTATTATTATAATTTTCACTTTTGTTTGTTCAAAATTTATCGAATTAAAAGTTTTTTCGAATAATTAAGAACCTTATCATCCATTTTTTTGTTGCAATTTGAAATGAATATTTAAAGAGAATCCAACCTTACCGAAATATTCAGCGTGGATATGATAGATGCTTTAATTTACAGTCTAAATTGGGCGCATTGACAAACTGGTTTCTCTGTAAACGAACATCTCGTCGGTTTCCAGTTTCCTCTGCCAGTCCTTGGTCGTCTAATCTTTCCAGAAATAAGTAGCCAGCTATTTTCGGTATTTGGAAAAGCAGCAGGAAAATTCGTAAAGACTAGAAAATATATTTTTCGACCATACACGTATTTATATATACACAAACAACGCCTCACACCTTTTTTGATATTGTATTCGAGATTAAACCTCTTTCGTTAATTTCGGTTATTTGAACAATTTTAGACGAGCCTGTTCGTATTAAATCGAGCATATTCATTTTATTCTGAAGGGACTCGTGGATTTCGAGGGTCGTCGAAAGGGGCGTCTACTTATAATAGATCCCAGAACTGAATGAACAATGATATTCTATTTTTGTCTCTTATTTATTTACAAAAATTCTTTTCCTTGCCTCTTTTTTCTCGATATTTTTATTTTATTTCTTACTTTCTTACTTTTTTCATTCTTCTCTTTAGTTATTTAAAAAAATTAATCTTCTAAATATAAATTATTCGTATGACCAAATATATTTACAACGATGGATTAAATACATGTGTGGAATAGAAGGATTGTTTTATTATTTTTTTTTTAGTTTAAGTCGCTTAAACTAGTCAGAGTTGTTGTAAGCACGTGAATAAACTTGGTTATATATCAGTCATGTGAAAGAATTGATGTATACAGACTTCTTTCTAGCACCTATGGCTACAAAAAAGCTAGTAAATTCATGATACTATAATGGTCTTAACGTTTGCTTGCTGAAAATGTTTTTTAGAAAGGAATTATTTCCGTTCTTTTTCTTAAATAAATTTTATAAATTATTTATATAAATAAGAAAAGAAGAAAAGTAGAAAAAATAGACGAAAAAAAAATTGATACATCAGCATTAAAAATTAAAAAATTATAATAATAATAATATTCGAGTTAAGAAATAAAACATTATCGATCACACGTATTCATGTGATAGTCAACCCTAGAGGGAACCATTATCGAACGTAAGTAATTCTGCACCCTTCTATTATAGGCCGACATTGAGATTGGCACACCCTGACTAGAGAAAAACCCGCTTAAAAGGGGTTGTCTTTGTGTCTCAACTGCGTAAGATCAAAAAGAGCCGGAGCCATTCTGAACGCACGATTTCGAGTCGTCGCCATTGCCCCATCTCGATAAAAACTCTGAACAAACAAATATTCATCCACTTTCTAATTTTAATTACATTTCAATCGCCTGATCATTAAAAAGTGCTCATTTATTAATATTTCGATTGATTATTTTTATTAAATTAACAAAAGAATTTCACCTGTTTGATTTTTTATTCAGATATTCATACCTATTTTATTTTATTACATTAGAATAAATTTTCTCAGAGAGAATAGAAATATTCAATAGGCAAATGAGCAAGATGGATTTAGAAACGTTTAATAATTTCATTCAATTAATCTGACGGCTTGGCATATGTAGATTGCAAGAATGTATCGTGTCTCGACACGGGCGTTTTGCGACACGGGTGAGGCCCATCTGACTGCGTCACAACTTGCTTTACGTATGTCTTTCTGGTACGTGAACTGGCAAACCAATCTCCCCACTCCAAGTCGAATTTCATTTCAGTTGCGCTTTAGCGCTACAACGTGTTCATTATTAGTCGTATGTATTAATAATCTCGAATCATGAATTTTTTTCTTATATAATAGTAATAGTCTTACGATATTTGATGAATTTTAATATTTAGAATTTTACATTATCACAGACAGTGTAAAATAAATAATTTTGTTCGTTTAAATATTATTCTCAACTTCTTCTTCAATTTAACACGTACAGTTTTTATCTACACCAATAATTCTGCAAGTTAACGAATATGCGCATGCGTGAATAAATGTGCCCGTGTGCGCGACGAAGTTAGTCGAACAACTCTCGGGAACGTGATTTGGTTAAAACAGATAGTAGAAAATTGAAGTGATCGCAATTGCAAGTCGACCTTAAAATGGAATTTGTACGAATACAGATGCAAATTGATGTTTTGTAATCTGTTCTGAAGAGAAAAATATTTCGTTTCGCTTTCAATATATCAATATTTTATTCTGATTATTATATATAGAAATCGCAAAACAGTATTGTTTAATTATTTTTTGGATTTTTTAATAAACGTTACTTCTCAGTTCAGATCAAATAAAAAAAATTTAATATGTTCTTTAACTTATTATACTTGTTATTATAATTATAATATTTAATCTATATATCTATATATTAATATATAGTTAATATAATTAATATATATATAATTAATGTATTATAATTATTAATTATTTGGAAACGATTATTTGCACGTTTCAAGTAAAGATATAATTTTATTTTCAATGAAAAACAAAAATTTGAGAATCACTGTATCACGAATTAAAAATTACTTAGGGAGCAATACTTTTATAAAAAGAGAATCATCATGTACGTTGAATTTATATTATACAGATAATATTCAGCAGCACCATATGTCTATCGGGAGAATTAATTGTAGTTTTAACGTGGTTGTGGTTCAGAAACGAGATGGTTGCATTCTCGATGAGGACGTCAACGACGCGGATTCGATGCAAAAGGATATAAGTGTGTATGTGCATACACGCGTCTTTCTTTTACTCGGTGTACAAGAGGCGCCTGGGAAATAGGGAGTTCCAAAGATAGCAATTGTTTTCAAACCCTTTCAAATATCCTTTCCATTTTTATTTTCTGACAAATCGATTGTAAAATTCATTTTTTTTTCGTGTGCATTCGAAATTAATTATTAACGATAAGTATGCTTTATGAATATAGTGAAAATTTTATATATATATATATATATATACACATACTGTATATAATATTTACAACTATATATACATATTATCACATTATAATAAAATAATTAAACGATAAGATAATTTATTTTTTTCTCAAATTCTTTACTTATAAATAATTATAATGAAAATTTTGTAACCTATATTCGAAAACTCTCCTATATAAATTTTATACATCTATTTCAAAGAATAGGATTCAATCAATTCAAGCTCGCGAATGAGAAAATTTTTCATCAGCAAACTAGAAACATATAAATTTCATTTTCCATGATGGAAATGATAAAAAGATTTCAAGAGCGGGAGACATTTTTGAGACACCCCGTGTAGTCATTCGAGGGGAGAAACCTCGGGTATGCACATGCAAAAGAGAGACAGTCAGGCGAATGGAAAAGGAGATGCTATGGGTCGAATAGTATAGGAAGGAAGAATGAGTTCCGCACGAGCGAAACAAAAATGAAGCTACGTTTTTCCGTTCCTTTTCTATCTACAGTATCTCTTTCTATTACCGTCAGCGCAATTCTCTTTATTTATCTAACATGAGAACCTAGTAGGAGAACATCGACCAGAACAGTGACACGAAAGTTAGACGAAGATGGATGCCACGAATAATATGTGGCACGTTTTCGAGTTAAACAAGCAGCATCATAGTTTTTACACTTCGAATTTTAATGATTGTTTTCTGCTTAAGAAAAAGTTTAGATAGAGAGATTTGTTTCACCATTTTCAAAAAAAATATATGTATTTCTATTATGATTAAAAAGTAATTTTCATGGAAAATTATAAACGGTAAAATTAAAATTTCACAAAGACTGAAGATATTCACAATTTAATACGAATTTTTTTAACGATATATGCTGATAACGAATTTCTTTATCAATTTTACAAAGCGTTTTTCTACTGATTAAGTTATTGTGAAAACATTGAAATATAATAATCAATATCAATAATTATTAAGAATAAGATTAACAATTTATCAAATTAATAATATAAAGAATTAAAAATCATGTTGTAATACAATTTCTTGATAATCACAAAAAAATGATTTCATATACATTGAACTTCTTCTTATAAACTTCTTTTATTATTGAGATTATCAATTGATATTTTAGTTTCACCAAGGCCAGTCAAGATAAAGCATTTTGAAAGGTCTCGTGGAAGACTATCTAATATATTTTCAAGCAAAGAATGCTATCATCTAGATCAGAAAGGAAAAAAGAAGAGCATTCTGAATAGTTCGAATTGTATTCGAGTAACAGAAGATAAGGAAACATACTTTAATTAGAAAAGCATTACGTTTTCTAAAACATCATATATTCTAAATTATAACACTCATAAAATACAAAACAGAAACGCAAAAATATGATACAAAATCCATTGAGAAAGCACATACCACTTTCATGTCTGTTCTGAAATCCTATTCAGTACGTTTTCCAACGTACACTCTCTCGATGTCGTTTGTAGCGACTACGCGCGCGCATCAGTTTTAAACATGGCTACCTAAGTGTGCACTAAGTGGCGGGATAAGGCAGACATACAACAGACGCATATCGGGCCGATCGACTTTCAAAGTTTTCGAATAATCAAGTAAATGGAACAACTAATTTGAAAAAAATATATTTCAAAAAAATTAAATTTGATAAAATTTAATCAAAGATGAATATATAATCATGATTATATTAAAGATAATAATAATTTAATTCATAGAAAGAAAAAAGAAAAGATAAAAAAAAATAAAATTGATTCAGAAAAGATGAATAAATTTTCAACTCGAAAGAAACATTTTTCTTACCTAATTAAATGTTAAACTGATCACTTTCTTTAGAAAGTATGCTCGATGTATTTAAATTTTTATGTAACAATAGATTCCATATAAAAAAGAAAACAATTTCTAATGCAGTAATAATAAATAATTTTTATTTTTATTTTAAGATCTTGAATAAATAAATAGTAACTATCAATATATTATGATAATCATATATATTTGATTAATGTAAACGAATTCGTACACGAATGCTTAAAAATTGTTCCCTTATTCTTTTATATGTATATATATATATACGCATCGAAAAAGTTTATGAATTTGACTCACGATAAGAAGGAACGTGAGTCAAAGCAGACACATCTTTGTCATAAATCAGTGAGAGGCTAAATACATATAAAATAGAAAGATGAACTAGACGAATGAGCGAGAAGTCTAAGTAAGTGAGAGATCCTTGAAATCGATGAGTGAGCGAAGAAGACGAATAAATGAGTGAGCAAATGAAAAAGTCTCAAGATCAAACAAGTGCGAGTAAGAAGGCGAGTGAAAGGAATCCCTACTACTTAAGAGAGAATAAGATGACGTTCAAGAAGAAAAGAGACATTCGATTGAGTTAGCATAGCGAAAGAAAGAAGAGAAACAAGATATTCGAGCAAGAAACGAAAGAAAGAGCGAAAAATAAGAGAGAAAAAGAGGAATATAATAGGGGAGAAGGAAAAAAGAAACAGAAGAAGAAGGAGATATACATGTATAGGAAAGGAACGACCAGCTGTTTCCTCATGTGACGTCACGCAGGCGCCTTGTGGCCGACTAGGGAATGGAGATGGACAGGTGGACAATGCTTTTAACCCTCTAGTCGTACCTGGATTCTGTTTCCAATCTACTTGAATATTTTTTTCTTTTTTCAATGCTTTTGTATTCATAATATCTAAAAAAAAGTCAATTGTTTAAACTTTCACAAGCTCGAACAAATTATGAAAGATTAAAATTCAAACTACAATTCATTTAACCTCATTTGCTTTTAAAATGTCGATCTCTTTATGTTTTAACAAAATACCAATTTTGTTAAAACCAATTGATTACATCGTGTTTTTTATTTTCGTTTTAACGATATGTTACATCAGATGTTCTGTAATATATCTATATAATATACTGTGTAATATAAGTAAAGATACTACAAAATAGCGTGAAGAAAAGAAGTTTGAGATAAATAATTAATCTTACAAAAAAATTCTAATTGACCGAAGAAACATAAAATCATGATTCCAAGTTCTGAAGAGAAAACGTGTCGCAAGACTTAGTCTAGTCGTCGACCAATGATATCACACGATGTCTGTACGCATGCGTATTCTTTGTAGCCGTGTACTCACGCACGTGTCACGAGCACACTGACTACAATAATCAAGGAGGGAAAATACAATCTATTGTATATATTCATATTTTGTTGAAGAATCGACTAACCTATTTTCAAATTAATATCTCAACTGATATTTCATAAAAAGTAAGCACAAAATCTACGATAAACGGGATAATTTCTAATTCTAATGATAATTTTAAAAATTCTGACTAAAGAATTTTCATCTCGTTAAAATGTATTTGTTCATGACGATTCTTTTCGCTTTCTTTTTTTAATCAAAGAATTTTACAGACAATTTGCTATATTAAATACTATAAAATCTAAAATAAATTCTTGAGAATAATTTTTTTTTTATTTTATTACTTTAATTTTAATTTTTTAAATATACAAATCAATTTCAACAATCATAAAATATCTCTTCTTTTGAATATGTTATATTTCAATAGGCAACTATGTTTGATCATCATGCAATTCGCAGATTGTCAAGCTCGAATGACTCTACAGATTGGATTTGAGGCGATTAATCACGAACATTATCTTATCGCGAGTTGAATGCTCCTATCAACGACGTGTTGCGAACAATCTTTTGCTATGACAAGATTGTACAACATCGTACATAACTACAAACTTTTATTAATAATACAGAAATGTGTTGTTGCATTTTACATTAGATTCGACATAAAATTGTAACAATGAATAAATTACGTAAATGATTCAAATTATTTCCATCCAATATGATTAATAATAATGACATTGTTGAAAATTTCTTTTTCGATTTTTTAAAATATTTATATAATAAAATAAATAATTAAACATTTTTTATTTCTAACAATAGATTCTAAAAATTAACATTAATACATTTAATATTTCGATTGTTCAAAATTAAATAATTATAAGAAATGATCATTGCAAGAAAAAATTCAGAAGTGATGAAAACGCTATAAAATTATCAATTTGGATAATGCAAGGTCTTGCCATACTTGGTTTCGAATTCTCTAAGTAGACAGGTATGCGTATGATTAACAATGTCTCGGTAAACGATTGTGGCGATTCACGTCATTCTATCCTTGTTTAGTGCTTACCGTGCTATAGAATTCTATCTTCCTCACACTTCAGTTCTCCCTTACAATTAGATGTCTAGAGGAATACGAAGGAGGATTATTCACCCAACCACATTGTTTTCATTGTCTCGCAAGTTATGATGTCAAAGTCGATAAGATCGAAAACAGAAACAAGGAAAAGACTCATCGATAAATGGACAAGCTTTGAATGCTTTTGAAATTGAAATTTAACGTATTTATAATTAGTTATTTATAAGCGATTCTTTGTTTAATATTAATTGTTTATATTAAATTGTACTTTCGATTATTGAAACAGATTGATTTAAAGATAATTTTTTTTATTATTATAATCTATAATTTTTATCACGAATCTAAAATTATTAACTTTAACGATACTTTGTACCGATGAAAAGTAATAAAATGATGTATATATATATATATATATATCATTTTTAACCTTCATGTTTTCATCAAATACGAAATTTTAAAAAAATATTGTCCGACGTAAAATATGTAGCCATTTAAACAACCGCTCTGTGGAATCTCGCGTTTAACCTATAATTAAATGCGCTATTTTTCGCCACACGCCGATTTCACTCCAGATGCGTTGTCGAGTGTTCACGTTTCTTCGAAAATTGCGCATTGAAAAGATGGTCGACAGTATAGTGGCGGTTCTGAATTTCTTTCATAGCGTTTTCTAGATTCGGATTTGAATTTCATCAGAAAGCATTACATTCGAAAATAAACGAACGTTCCTCGTAAATTGGATATGGCGGGGAACTTGGCGAAACTAGAGTTGATGTTTTTTGTATGGATAGTATTCTTGTAGATTACAATGTGAAATATATATATATATATATATATATACATTTGTACAAGTAAAATGGACAATTGCGAAGAAAAATACGATATACCTGACCAAGTTATTATCGTTTCATTTAGAAATGAAATAGTTTGGTCGTTAAAATGAATAGAATACCGAAGAATAGTTAATGATGTACCGGTAAATATTAAGCCATTGCCAAGAAAGACGAAAATAAGTCGTTATTATTTAATGATACGGAATAATTTAGTAGAATTAATTTAATAGAATTTTTTTTCTTATTCTTCTTTTGAATTTCTTCTGTATATTATTCTTCGAAAAAGGAAAAAAAAAAAAAAAGAAATATCCAAAGAAACGCGAAAACACATTTATCGC